CCCCGTTGCCATGGCAACAGCACTCACCTTAGCCAAAATGTGAGAATAAACCCTTCTGTGGTTAACGATGACTCTTGCAAAAAACGGGCACCAAAGCATAAATATCTTTAAAGTAATGGTGAATTAGGCAGAGGCTCTTGAAAACTGTGTTCGGCCACCTTAAGATCACAATCAAACATGTTTACCAACAGACATCATATGACTTGCCTCTTCATCCATTCCACCCCAGAAATTGGAATATGCAGCCTTCCCACCAAACACTTCAATCATTGGTGCAATAACAGTCCTATGAATGAGATAAAATCCGTAACTCCAAAAGAAAATAAACAAGTGGTAAACGAGATCTTACCAAGCAAGTTAGCAAGCCTTTATTACAATTAAAATATACTGTAATGATATGAAAAGTATGGTCACTCCTCAGCTTATGGAATGTTACTACATAATTATGCAATTACCATTGTTGATATATGTTTCCAACCATTCACTCATGGTCTAGCAACAATTGTAATGGGGATCAAATTATCAACAACATACTGTCATTCACTCCATCCCCAACCCCCCAAAGCCTCAACTCTTTTAAATCCCTGAAATACAGTAAAATCCTGCATAAAAGAACACATGTTTTGGGGTTTCAGGCTGATTTTGTTCTTATATATCTGGTGTTTTCTGCAAAATCAGCCTGAAAATGTTCTTAAGGTGTTCTTAAAATTGTTTCCAAAAATTAAATACTGCATAGACTACCAACAGATGAAATCAATGTGCAAGCACAACATTTTAATTAATTAATGTATAGCACATATATTGATCTACTCAGTACTGTAGTTAGTACTGTACCCTAGTAGGCTATTCTATTCTAACTGGCAGCCAATGTTTTTTTTATATAAGAACAATTTTCATGTTTCAGGCTGAATGTGTTCTTATGTATATGGTACTTTTTTTGACCAAATTTCAGCCTGAGTGTTCTTAATCCACTTGTTCTTTTATGCGGGATTTTACTGCTCAAAATATGAAATAACATTCTTGAATCTAAGCCCCTAATATACATCTTGGAGGATCTGCTCACTGCTTAAGAAACTGGCAATGATTACTTCATTCCCCTACTCTTCCCCCTCCCCTACCCTCCCCTCCTCCCGTGTACACACATGCACACCCATACTGGAATCGTCAATTTAATACCCCACAAGATCTCTTCCATTACCCGGTCACTTTTATCTTCTTGTAACCCTAAATATTCCATTACCTTTTGTAATTGGGTGGGGTGACCTGGGTTTACAAATACTTTGGGTTATTTAAGCTCTCTATCTTTGCTACTGGATGTGCAAATTACTTCTAGTTGGGAGTAAGTTTTTTTTTATTCCTAATGGCAGCCACTAAACTTGTAACAGGTAGCATGTTTACATGTTTTAATGTTTATTATGTTTTAGTGTGGTATCACTTTGCAAAAGCCACATCAGATCAAATGGTACCCTGAGTTACACAATTTCCTTTGAAAAAATGTTAAGGTGAGGTAGGGGGTTAAAGTGACTTCCTCTGGCTCCAAGCCAAGACATGCAGCCAACTGGCTTCAGTAATATTTGCATCTTACATGTAGCTGTTACTTACTTTTTCTCCTCCATCAAAAGTCTCAGTGTCCTAGGATTGATTAAGAAGTTGTCACAATCCACAAACTGGAAGAAAAACAAACATGATATAATACTCCAGTTCTTGAGAAAATCAATGAACTATGAATTAACAATGTTTTATTTTCAATTTTAATACATTTTGGTAGACCTTCATCAAGTTTCACTTTAACTTGCACCAGTAATCTTATTAAGCTGCATGCAAGTACCAGTCAGGAACTAAAATTTTCTTTTATCTCATATTTCCTCAAATCACAAATTTTGTCACTTTTTTATGATGAACATTTACTGTGATATAAGCCTGATCAGACCAGACAATTTCTATACAAATCTCTTGGATACAGCTGAGTAGAGTGTCTTTCCTTTGACTGATTGTGCATGATTTTGGATGTCAGAGTGCTTAAAATCAAAGTGGAATTAACTGTCTATGGTTCAGACCACAGATCTCCAAGTGACGAGATATTTCTGGTGATGATAAGTATCTTTGGACAAAATGGCAATTATCCCATGGAAATTCGCCAGGTTTAGATTTTCTGAGGTTGGCAGCAAAGCATTTTCATGGTAATAACTTGTAAATTATCTCTGCCACTTTACCAATGGTAGTATTTTTGTTATTGATTCTGACTATTTTGCAAAAATCCAAGTTAGAGACTTGTTCATGAATCTAGACATTACAGTTTGTAAACATACAAATATATAGTCTGCCCACTGTTTTCTTGCACTATCCAGAGCCCTTTGTCGAAGATACATCATCTGTCGATATCTAGTCTCAGTCCACTCGCCTGGACCTTTGGCATTGTCATAGTGGCTGGGAGTGTCAGACACATTTATTAACACTCTGTGGTATAAATGCTTTACATTTTGAGACCATTCCTGTAATATTGCTGATGTGTTGTCTTCATTATGGTCTGATCTGATCCTGTTAATATAATTGGGAAAAATGGACAATTGAACAATGAGTTGTTCAAAGGTTGGATTATACTACGGCAGCCCCTCTGGGCCAAAGTGTTCTGGCTTAATTACAGAGAAGAGGTTAATGTAAGTGGTTAATGCAGGTGGCTGTCGTAGCAGGTTTCAATAACAGCAAAATGTATGGATCGATACAATGTTGGGGTCAAAAATCCAGGTCATGGTAGAGTGGTGGCTGTCATATCTAGAGGTGGCCGCTAGTGTAGGTTCAACCTATTTACAGGATGAATCTCCTGTGTAATCCCTTGGATCACAATTTACATAGCAGGCTTGACTGAAAGAAATGAGCTCACAAAGGTTTATCCATACCTGTAGTACATTCCCAATATGAACAGCCAAGTTTGTGTTCAACGGTGTATGCAACAGATCACAGGGATTGGAAATTGGGCTCTCCAAAAGAATTTCTGAGTTTGTGTTCTACCTTGTATGTAACAGATTTATGGAGGTTGGAAATTGCACTTGCCGAAATAATTTCTGACCACAGGCAATATAAGGGCTGTACAATTCATTGATTGAACCATGAGGCCCAAATTTTAGCAGAACATAGCCAAACTGCAGGAATGAAGGGATGAAGAGTTGAAGATGCTCTGGGAGGGAAGAGAGGGTTAAAGGCTGACTGGAGGGGAGAGGAGGGGAGTGGAGGGGGGGAGAACTTGAAATGCATAATCCTTAGCGGCCACCTTAACCATGAGAGTTGGCTTGCTAACTCAAACCCAGTTACTTCAAACTCCCCTCTGTTTCAAACGGAAATCATTTTGCCTTCAAAATGATTTTTCAATCCTTTAATATTGGCCATCTTGATAGGGTTTAACCGCACTGTTGTTTTCTGGTTACAGCCTGCTGGATATGTAATAATTTGCACGACAAAATGAAAAGAGCCTAGCACCCAAGGAGCATCATGTTCCATATGGAGAGGCACAAGACAATTTTCATTATGCAAATTGCATTGTGCAATGATGCATTGAGTCAAAAGAACACATAAAGAGGAGCAGTTGTAGAAATTCCCCTACAATAATGACCTGTTTTCCAGCAAGAAAACTTGAGGGATGGTTGCACATTGCAATTTGCACGATGAAAATTAGATTAGAAGAATTAGTTGTAGACCACTGGGTCGCCCACCTTTCATTTCTCCTTGGTGGATGTAAAACACCAGGGCTGGAAAGTTCGAAAGCTGGTTAACACTAACCCGGGATTAAAAGTTAACCAAAGTATTAATTTGTCTTGAATAGAGATGTTTTCCTGCTTATGTTTTATGAAGTATGAGATTATTGAAATTCAAAACTGAAGGACAAACAATATAAAGAGAAAACCTCACTTAACCTCCTGGGTTAGCTTAAGGTTACAGTATACCTTCAGGGGTGTCTTGCACGCAGACGATGTAGCACGTTCAGTTTAAGCTGTAGATACCTAAACCCCTACATCAAATTAAAGCTTATGGAGCTGGCTATCACACTATACCAAGAATTTTGAAAGAAAATGAATTGTCGAATTTTTCACGACCACTAAATGCGAGTGCCCGAATCACCTTTCAAGAGCTACAAGTCAAAGCGAATTTCGTTTTTCACCAATTTAATTTTTTCCTCGGTTTCAGGGCCCAAAGCACTTAAAAAATTTGTCTGCGTTTTGGCATATTCAATTGCAGTAAAAAGTTACAGAACATTTTCGAAATAGAATTAAAAAAATGTGGAGTGATTGTACAAAAATTGCTTTCGAAGAAAAAGTATTTTGAAATTAACAATTCCCAGACACGCTTTTGTAGTTTATATGTTAAACTAGCCACTGTCCAAATTTAAGAGCAATTGAACAAATTCCCT